CTGAATCAACTAAATTTTTAGTGAATAAATGGGCACATTGATTCATGTCAACACACAAAAAGTTGTACATTGAACATGAAAAGGAAAAAAAATTATCTATATATGGTTATTACTAAAAGTCTAAAACCCTGTCATAGAACAAACACGAGAAAATCATTGTCTAAACTTCTTACCTAAATGACTGAACAACACAAAAGGAAATCACCAAATTGATTCAAACGCCTCAACTCTTTATCATCATTGCTTCAAACATAAATGACCTTTGCTTTCTTGGACACGCCCTTATATTCTGTCATCTTGTTCGAGAATTTGAAACATTTGAAGGAACCCAAATTATTATCATTATTCTTCTTGACCACGAACCTTCAAATGTTTAGAACCACATAAAAAGAAAAACATTAAACTTTAAGCCATGCATGAAAGTAATCTACAAAGAATACTAGTGAATCCCATCAATAACAAAAGAAAAGGCCACTAGTGGATTCCAAAGGTTTCAAGATACTATAGTAGAGAAGCAAACTACCGAAGCAGAAAGTAAAACAACACCAACAAAAAAGGCAGTCATCCCAAATCTTCCTCGTCGTCATATTCCTCGTCGTCATATTCCTCTTCCTCGTTCCACATATAAATAACTTCGGCATCTTTAGAAGCACGCTTATATTGAGTCGCTTTTTTCAAAAACTAGATTCAGACCCGTAATCGGCCACAATTGCTGTTTTGCTTGTAAATGAAAGGTAGTCACCGAGACTGGCGGTGGATCGACAGTCTTCATTTGATAGAGATAGTATTCCCATTTCCGCAAAAGATTTACCTTTGTTTGCCATGGAGTTTGGAGGAAGAAGGAACAAGGGGAAGGTGAAGATGGAGGAAAGAGAGAATGTAGGTGTAAGAAAAAGTGATTGTGGGGGTTGAGTCTGGAGACGTGAGTGTGATGGAGACGGTTGAGTCTGGAATGTCAAGAGTTAGAAGATTTCGGAAGATATGTAATGATGATGGTAACTCGTGTAGGTTAAACTAGGGTAAGTAAAGCTAGTTAAACTAGGGTTGGCGCACGAATTGATACGGCAGGAGAAATCAAATGCTCGCATGTTCCAGGCCCACTTTTGAATATTGCATGGATCATATACAAGCCCACTTTTGAATGTTATTTAAAAGCCTGCAAAAATCAATGACCACACCCAGTCCAACTAGAATTAGTCCTAAACGCACCGTTAATACATAAACACAAATTAAGGAGACCTCTCCATCCGATTCGAATCATATTATGTCTTCTTCATCTCCTTCCTCAATCCTCTGGGCGAGACGAACACTACATATCAGGAAACCTTAATTTCACAGAGTGATAGAAGTTTCGAGAAAATGACAATAACGCTAAGACAAGATGACAAAGCACTAGCGACATGAACCCTAGGGTTAGCAAACCTCTTTCAAGGGTTCTTTTGCAAATGAAAAGTTTGATGAACACAATAATAGACATGGTCGCCATGATCGTGTTAGAAAGAGATAGGCGAGGGGAAATAAAATGGCGAAGAACAAACAAGACAAAATAAATTGGGAAATTCAATCTACGTCGAATGTGGATGCAAGTAATTGGGATTCAAAAAGATGATTAAGTTGAGAAGTTCAAATTGGATGGAAAGCTTCTCTTGGAACTGTTAAGGGCGTCCCTCCAAGACGAGAGAGGGATCGTGTAATTGGTTAGGGAGACTGGAAATTGGTTAGGGCGACAGTGGGTCTACCCAATTGGGTTTGCAGTCTTCATTCATTTAATTTAATCGGGCAGTTAGTTGGACTAGGATGAAAACAAACTTAACGCGACAGGAGGCTTTTTGTAATTTGTTTAGTTATTTAGTGGCGCAGTTAGGTTTAACAAACGTGAGCCATGGAGATTGAAAATGAATGGTTAAGATCGGCCAAGGTACCCATACCCGGATTTTGCCCTGGGCACCGTAGAAGTCACCATATATATATATATGGTTCAGGCTAGTGTACGCCCCATTGAGTTTTGCTATATAGATCATGAATTAACCGGAGTTTGGTGCATGATACTATACCCTAACCTCTAATGGGTAAACCCCAGTCCCTAATTTTCTAACCCAAACCATGAGATTCGTTTAATCTTAAAATGAAAATAAATGAAAATTTCGACGAATCAGGATCGTTGATTTTCATTTTTAAGAATAAACGAATCCCATGCTTTGGGTTAGTGAATTGAGGACTGGGATTCACCCATTAGGGGTTAGGGTATAATATCATGTCCCAAACTCCATTTAATTCTTTGTCTAAATAGCAAAACTCAATGGGGCGTACGGTAGGCTAGCGTACGCCCGGACGTACGCTAGCCTTTGCCATATATATATATATATATATATATATGGGGAGTTCTACGGTACCCCGGGTGAAATCCGGGGTACCGCATACCTTAAGTAAGAAAACGCTATCTAGAACTTGAATTGACTGATCTTTCGGACATTATACTACACTCTAACCCATAAAGATCAAAATCTAGGTCTTAATTCTCTAAATCTTATACCCCAAGATCAATTTAATTAGAAACAATAATCGACGGTTATGATTCGTCCAAATATAGGCAAAAAAAGTAATGCAGCATCTTAGGGTTTATAGGTAATGATTAAGATAATTAGGACCCAGGGTTCACTCATTAAGGGTTAGGGTATAGTATCATGCCCAAAAATCCTGCTAATTCGAGGTCTAGATAGTGTTTTCATACTCAAGGTATGCGGTACCCCGGATTTCACCCGGGGTACTGTAGAAGGCACCATATATATATATATATATATATATACATATAGGTGGCTACTTCGGTGCACTCACTTTTTTGGGTGCATTCAGTGCACCCACCTCTAAAAGTGGTCATAGTACATCAAATTTTGAAATTTAATGGGTTGCATTAGTCTAATATGATGATATAACACATAATCACAACTAATCAACCCATTACCCTAACCTATTAACCTTCAATTTTGAATCTCAACCAAAAACCCCAAATTGTTACCCTAACCCTAACCCTAAATTCCTAAACCCCGAATCATTCAAATTAAAGTGAATCTTGAATGATTTTTGTACAGATTCATGTGGTTCTTGTTCATCATACCACAAGTGATGATTGATATCGTTTTCACATGAATCGCCTGCTCAGAATGACGATTATGAGGCGGGTGCATTAAATGCACCCAAAAAAGTGAGTGCACTGAAGACATAACCATATATATATAATTACTACGTATACTTATCCGATTGATCAATAATTCGATTTTCGTCGAAATACTATCAAAACACTCGATTTTAAATCGTGACATTTTCTAACGACCGTAATACGAGTTTAGCTGAAATGGAATTTTACAAAGCAAGAAAAGAAAAAATGATAAATGAGAAAGTTGGAGACCTGTGAGGTCTGTGACCAAGATGCAGAAAGCACCCCCATGGTTCCAGAATCATCGAGGAAAAGGCATGGTGTGTGAACGGATCTGTTGCAGTGACAAATAATGGCAGGATATTGTTGTTGATATTATTTTGAATTTCTCCGTTATGATCTTTACCGTTCTTTGTATCGTTTCTTTCCAGCCTAATTATTCTACTAACTTGAAGATTCGTTATTACATACTAACTAATATCCAAAATGTAAGAACTAATATCCAAGTCTGCTAAATATCTAGATAGCATAGACTAATATTTGAAACATCACAAACTAGTATGGGTTAATATTTTCGTATGGCCTGAACTTTGACCAAAATAAACATCCTCACCAATCTTTTCGATCTATAACATCCTAGTCCGAACTATACACCAAAATAAACAATTTGAGCAGATCCGACTTTTGACCGTTAACTTGGACGGTCAAACGCATTGACCGTTAGTCAATGCGCCATGTCACTGCCAAGTCAGCATAAAATATTTAAAATAATTCACATTTTCCACACATTCCCTTATTTTAAATTATTATAAATTAAAAAAATCATCTAATACCTTAGTTAAACCCAAAATAAAAAACAAAAAAAATTTAAATATTTATCAGATCTTCTGACTTGGCAGTGACGTGGTGCGTTGACCGTTAGTCAACGCGTTTGACCGTCCAAGTTAATGGTCAAACATCGGGTTTGGCCAAATTATTTATTTTGGTGTATAGTTCGGGCCAGGATGTTATAGATCGAAAAGATTGACCATGATGTTTATTTTGGTCAAAGTTCAGGCCATACGAAAATATTAACCCAACTAGTATCCAGATAGCAGATACCAACTAACATCCACAATCAACCAACTAGTATTCAATATGGATACTCTTATGAGTTATCTAGATACTCTTATATGTTATCTGTTCACTAATTATGTGTTGCTTGGATACTATTATGTGTTGTCTAGATATTAGTTTGTAAATTTGGGATAATAGTTAATTCATGGTGAATATCAGTTAGCAAACTTTGAATACTAGCGTGTGCTCTCTAGATACTTTAGTACTTGGATATTAGTTCATGTATTTTTTATATCAGTTAGTATCTGCTAACGAATTTTCAAGTTAGCATATTAACTTTCTCCCCGTTTCTGATACTCCTGTTAACTGATTGTGGTGATCCGTTACTAAACTTGTCCCCTTGTTTGTGGGAACCAGAAAGGACTTGCCGGCGAGGCAGTAGAGAACTGCCAAAATCGCTCCGGTCTAAGTGGTTCAATAGTTAAAGACCCGCAACCTCAAATATTAGAGCTCCGAGAACTTAACAGGATCAAGAACGTAATTACTCTGTGGAACGTTATAACCACTGCGGAAGTGTTTGTACGAAATGTACAACCACAGCCCTTCAACTCCGAAAACTACTCAAGGTAGGAACCATTTATGAAGCAGTCAGATAAACAATCAAGTAGAACATAACTCCCAACTTAACTTTGACCCTCCCTAACTAAACCTAGTAACCTTCCTTCCCTTCTAGGCCCAACTATTGCAGAACCAAAAATTGATTTGCTGATAAGGGGCCTGCAAGTCGGACTTAGACCGTTCGCTCGATCAGGGCACCTATCCATGATCATAATCAAAACAGTTTCAGACCAGGTCCTCCACTCAATTTTTTTCTTTCTTCCTTTTCTTTCTCAACTGGATTGCACTTACATATAGGCATTCACTAAAAGCCTTGAACGGCCACCACCTTCTAAGTTCTCATACTCACCATTCCAAATATACTGGAAGTTTGCCTTCTTGGAACACCGTTTACAGTACGATACTCCCGTCAAGAACTTGTGAGATTTATCGAGATTCATATACTCTGAAGTAGTAACAACAATCTTGCGAAGTAGTGGGGCACCAGCTAGCGCAAGGGTCACCAAGTCCAGCTCGACTTGTGATCCATGGATTCCGTTAATGGTCAACTCTTCCAGACTCTGAAAACAACCCCAGGATCCTTGTGGGTCCTCTGCTTCCAACAGACTCTTCAGACTGTCGATTAAATTTTCCTCGGGATCTCGTGTTCCATCGTCAATCTAAAAGAGGCATATATCAAAGAACGATCTCAGGGTACATACTCGATTACGGAATATTTCAGTTCCTCACAACAACTAAAACGAGACTAACTAACCTGGGAATGGTGAGTGTTTTCAAGTTGGGGGAACTCATGATCAGGCAAAAAAGAACACGTGCCTCGGGCAAACTATCTAATACCAGGCTATCCATTTCCAGGACTTCCAAGTGTTGAAGAGGAGTAGGAAGCCTCTTCGGGACATGATTGCCTGCAGCAAGCAACTGGAATACAAAACACCAAACACACAAGCATTTAGAACTAGAAACAAAACAAATCCAAGTAAGAGAAGATAAGTAGAAAAACTTACCAGCAGGAACTCAATGCCAAGTTTCAACTGTTTTAGTGCAGGGAGGGAAGCAACGAATAAATCTACTATATCAATACTGCCCCGCTGATACCTGTACAATCCATTGGACAAGTAATCACAGTAATCTAGAATGGATACCTGCGAAAGAACAGGGGTATACTTGAAGCGAATGGTCCACAAGATGGTGCGTAAACAAAGCACTTTGAGACGAGGGGCCTCAATGTCAGGGCTATCTATACAACCCAGACAATCTATCATCCTCAATTCTTCAAGCAACGGGCACTTGTGAAGGAAGCCAACAAAGAAATCTTCGTCCACTACTACGTTTGCCAAATCGAGACAGGTGAGCTTGCTAAATCCCACAAACCCAGAAGGCGACAACAATTTGCAATTATGCAGTTTCAGGGCATTGAGTTCAAGAGCAACAAAGAGGGAAGCAAAGTTCCTGGTTTCATACCCAAACCGGAACTCATCAAATTCATCAAGAAACTGAAGGGTGATATCCTGGATACCTTTGTTGGCAAGGTGAAGAATCAAGGGATCGATCTCGTCGCCAGGCTTCAATCCAGGAATTGCAAGCACAAACTTGGTTGAAGGCTCATTGTTGTGGAGGAGCACCGCTTTGTAAATCTTCATCACCAGAGCATTCACATTCGATGCAGTTTCGGCCCAACGGGTTCGGGCAAAATCAGCATTGAATACAAGTTGAGGCACATTCCTCCAGCGATACCTCCATTGCCTTGACCAGGTAGCCGTTCTTGCTGCTTCTTTTAAGGGTAACAGCATGAGAATTCGCTCGGCCAGGTAAGCAGGAAGGTTGCTAATCCTGTCAGTACTACTTGACTCGCGCAAAGTATTCATACTGCTAAAAAGAAATTCCGAGCAAGGAGAGTGGATCAGATTCACAACTCACAACTAACCCATCAAAGAGCCGAGATTTACGAATAATTAAAAGAAAAGCAATTGAGGTGAGAAGGTTTCGGACCTGTAAGGGTTAACTAAGCTCGGTATCTCTCGGAGAGGGCTTTCACGAATTGCGGGCGGCAGAGGTTAGCGGAGAACGGAGGCTCTAAGGGCGGCAGTCGGATTTTCCCAGGGCGGCAAAATCTCTGGAAACACCGCGGTCGAAACGGGCAGATAAACGGGCAAAATCTCTTGAAGAGTTACAACGAAAAATAAAAAACCCAAGACGTGTTTTCTTATACATGAAAAATTGTAAAATACAAACATTCTCGTGTTTTCAGTATATTCTGGTAGATAATCATTCACGATCGATCTTTTATTCAATTCTGAAACTTGTTCTTGAAGTCACTCATTGCCCCTCCTCGATCGAGGTCATCCATCGCCAAATTATTATAGAAGGAAGTAGAACTAGATGACTTAATTCTCAAAGGAAGGAAGTCGAAGACTCAGAGCTCCAGGTTTGTGTGCTCGAATATGGTGAGATAAGGGGTAACTCGTAGATGGATTGAGTTTGATTTTTATGTTTTGGAAATTTTGGGATTAAGGATAGCAGTTTATAGTTATGTTTGTACTAAAATTACAACAACAAATGAATTCTAATCTAATTTAAAAATGTTCATTAATAACTACTATGTCAAATGTTTGAAATACATAGACTACTGCCTATTTTTTTTCCATACTCAACTATTACGGGGTTCGTTAAGACTACTATCTACATACATTTACCTATTTTTTTCCATACTCAACTATGAGATTTTGGGAATAACTTTGCCTTTACCTTTCACAAATCCATATACATTTCAAAATTATGGTTATACTCAAAGTTTTACTCCATCAAAATTTAAGCGAAATCAAAAAAAGTTTCCTGACATTCGGATTGCCGAGCACAAATTTATGGTCTTCCAAAATTTGTTAAAATCGATAAATTGCTCGTTCGGGGTAGCAAACGGATTTTTTTTTTGGATGAATACTTGTTGCAGATTGAAAGATCTCGAAAAGTTATGTGGCATAAAAAAAAATTCGATACAATCGGATAACCAAGCGCAAAGTTACGTTTGTTTGAAGTTTCAGTGTTACGTCAGGCATTCACCGCGATCGTCAACCGCGGTGATGCATTCGCTGCTTTCGTCTGCCGCGGTGAATGCGTGTATTGCTGTTGACGGCCGCAGTAAATTTTTATAATTTTTTTTTATAACGTATGTATTTTTATAATTTTTTTTAGAACATGTATATTTTGTGATTTTTTCTTCATTTTGAGGAGGTCCATTAGGTAGTTTTGTACAACACAGCAAAAGTGATCGACATTGATTGTTAATTTTACATTATTAGCTATTACGGTTCGCATTAGCACGCATTAAGAGCCCATAAGCTGCTCCAATTAAGTTTAGGGCAGTATATATCCCGGCTCTGGAGAACCAAAAATGTAAGCTAAACTAGAAACCCTAACGTCACGTCATTCACAAGAAAACACATCTCATCCATCGGAAGGCCAAAGGCTTACTTACTGAACAGTAGGGTGGAGAAAAATACTTTCGTCTACGTCTACGAATCCTCAGTAAAACTAGATATCAGCCAACTTCATGCTCCAGACCGTCTTCTTATAGCTCATCAATATGACCTCTGCTTCTTCTGAAACACGATGACAGTGTGTAACCTCCTTCAAGAGCTTGAAACATTTCTCCCAATCCAATCCAGGTTTAGGCTTGATGATTATCCTGCGAAGCAGTGGGGCCTCTGCCAGCACAAATTTGAGTAGTGCCTGCTCAAAATTCGAGCCTTCACTACACTGCATATTCACCTCTTCCAGAGACGGACAACAATGATCTTCAGCATGATCGCCCGAGAGTTCAGACGCAGCATCATGGTCAACGGATTCAGGTTCAAAAAACATCGGTTGGCTCGGTCTGGTTGGAAACTCGACTCCGAATTGCCTCTACAAATGTGAATCAATCAAGGAAATAAAAGAGGTTGATCAAAACAGCAGCAGCCATTACTTTGAACTAGAGTTTGATATTCCCATGACGCGGATGACCAACCTGAATTGCCAGTCTGCGCAAGTTGGGGGAACTCCTGAGCAGACAAAACAGAACCTTCGACTCGAGGAAATAAGTGGTGTGAGAATTGCTGCGAACGTCGAGCACTCTCAATCGGCGGAGAGCAGTAGGCAGCTTGGAGGGGATATCCTCTGCAGCAAGGAACTAGAGACAGACACACAAACAAACAAACACAGCCATGACTACATAGCAGAGGAAATCCAGGTGTGGAAATGAAACAACAGAACAGAACAAATAAAAAAAAAGAGACAAACTTCATACTTTAAGGAACTCAAAGCTGACATACAGCTTCTGGAGTGCTGCAAGAGAAGCAAATACGGCGATCACATCTCTAGCCTCGTCGAATTCGTTCAATTTGAAATCACCAGGCTGCAACTGAATCGAAACAACCGAAAGAAGCGGAGTTCGCGAGAAGCTAATGTCCTCTAAATACCCCCGGTTATAGAGAAACACTCTGAGACATGGAGCTTCATCAATTTGAACATGAGTAGGACCCTCACAGTCCAGAAGCCTCAGATCCTGAAGCAGCGGGCACTTGCGCAGGAAATCGTGATAGAAATAATTAGGCACGGTCACCGTTCTCAGCTCGAGACGGGTGAGCTTACCAAACCCTACGAACCCAAAAGGGGGCACGAATTCGCAGTTCCAGAGCTTAAGGCAATTCAGGGGACGAACAGAGAACAGAGAAGAGTGAATGTTCTGACGGTACCCGGGCTGGATCACTTCGTCGCTGAAGTAGAGGGCGAATTCGCGGACCCCTTTGCTGGAAACGTGAAGGATCACCGGATCGAGTTCCTGACAAGGGTTTATCCCGGGCATGGCGAGGACGAACTTGGTGATCGGCCCGTCGTGGACCAGCAGAGCTTTGGAGATGTTCAACATCAGCTCTCTCTCGTCGTCGTAGGTGTTGAAATCGAAATCGAAGACCAGCTGGGGAATGCTTCTCCAGCGGTGCCTCCATTTGCTGGACAGGATGCTCGATTTGCCCGCGTCTCTGATTGGTAACGACATCAGGATCTGCTCAATCACGTTGGCGGGAAGGTCGCTGATTCTATCGGCGATCGATCTGCGCACCGGCTTCATTTGTTGAAATGCTGCTTTGCTACCTAGGTATATCTTTGTCACATTCAGAGAGAGAGAGAGAGAGAGAGAGAGAGAAGGGTTCAATTAACTGAGCCTCGTTGTCGATTCTGAGGTGAGGATGGTGAGATTCAGTGCCGAGGGATCTAAGGAAAAGTAGAAAACCCTAATCCGCTCTGCATGGCGGAAGTCTAGAACCGATCGATACTTACTCTCTCATTCGATTCCGCAGTGTGACGTCAAACGATGACATTTTGGACTTCCAGCCATCTGAGCAAGATTGTCAATCCGGTTTAACCCGTTGACCCATTCGAGTAAATGGGTTGAGGGTTGATGGTCCGATCGTTTTAGTCGGATTAGCTCAAATATATAAAAAGTTATTATATGTTCATAAATTTATAAATTAGATCAAATTTTATCTAGTAAATATCATATAACATTCTTCATAAAAAAAAATATCATATAACATTACACTAATAACAAATCGTACTTAGGGATGACAATAATATCCATAACCGTAGATATTTGCCTGAATACGATCTAATCTAGTAGGGTAAAACTCAAACCAGAAGAATTTTAGTGGATATGGGTAAAAACCGAATCTCAATATTGCGGATAATGAGTGAGCATGGTTTTCTCACTATCCAACCCAAACTCGCCCGATTATACACATGCAAATATATTTTGTCTAGAAATAATCATTATTTTTATCTGTCATATTTCAATTTATCATACAAATGTAATATTTTCATGAAATAATTTTGTTCTAGTTAATTATTATTTTTATTATCGGTTAAAATGAGCATTAACCCAATGAGTGGAAGGAGAACAAACAAAGGTCTACAAAAATTGTATTGTGAGTATATTGTCGTACTTTTCCTCTTATTTAATGTGAGTATACGTGTGAATATTAACATATTGGTTGTAGTTATAAAGATAAATTATTATCAATGGATAACAGTGGATACCCGAAACCCGAACAGGTATGGTATAGTTTTGATTCTTATGTTGGTATGAGTATGGGTAAAACCCGAACTACTTTAGGTAGGGTAACAGATATGCACTATCCGCCCTTGACCCGACCCGTTGCCAATTCGTACTTGGATCCAACATATAAACTTGACTAACAATTATATAACATTAATATTTAAATGTTAAACTTAGAATTCTAAAAATAAGGTTATGTGAGATGGAAAATTAGAAAGGAGACGAATTTGGCAAAAGCAAAGGGGAAAATGATGTTGTGTGACTTCCAATCTGGCAACCTTGCAACGGGCCGTCCTGTGGGTGAGTCGTTAGTGTGGCTCCTCTTTATCACTGCATCAGGGTCAAAATGGGCCGAACGCGGATCAACATGTTGGTTGACAACCTTGTATTTGAGTGATAATCGTAAAATTTGAAATTTTGTTCTAAATGATCATTAATATTAGCTTATTTCCATTTTGACCCCAATTTAAACTTAATTTCTAAACGAGTCCTTTATTAAAACTTTTGAGGCGATTGGTAACAGCGAAGGCTTGAAAGTTGCAGACACAGGTTCAACCCAAGCGAAGCCTGTTGGTGTTCCCAGAGGTATGAGGTTGCTGAGGGCGAAGCTCCGTTGGCGTCGAATTGATTGCAGGTGACCCCAAGTTTATTAGGCCCCGTTATCACAAAGTGGCACGTGGGGCTGAGATTCCTAGGTAATAAAAAAAAGAGCATTCTACTATGCTTTAAAGTATTGGTGCTTGTAAAGTACAACTTAAAGTAGTACCATAAAGTTAGAAGTACTAATCGAAGCTATACCATAAAGGAATCTGACCTTAAAGTTGTACCATAACTTAAAAGTACAACTTTAGTTTGTACCATAAATGGATTTTACAAAAGAGTATAGGAAATTAGGTACTACCTGAAGTTTTACCATAACGATAAATGTACAACTTCAAGTTATATAAAGACAAAAACTAAAGCACCAATACATTAAAGCATCGAATTTCTCTAAAATCATACAAATAGAGTCCTATTAGTACACTGACCGAATTTGCCTTGGAATTAGTGAATTACCATTGTAGTTAGGGATGGCAATGGGTAGGGTTGGGTCGGGTTTTGCAAAACCCAAACCCATGTGTTTATCCGTGAAAATACCCGGGGTAAAACCCAACGGGTTTGAAAAACGCTAACCCAACCCACCTGTTGGGTATCCGCAGGTTTATGGGTACCCATGGGTTTTTATCGTAAAAATTTTACAATAACAAGTTCCTATAAAAATAAAAAGTCAAATATCAATCTCTCAATACAAATTATCCATATATAAAACACCATTCTAGAAAATTCAAGCAAATCACAAATTAATCATACAAATTGTTGAACACCAATCTAGAGCACTCAAGAAAATTGAAGCAAATCACAAATTATCCATAAACAACATGATTAATTGAAATCATCTTCCTCCTTGTCAATTAAACTTCTTCACATTCCACTCGATAATATAAACTTCATTCTACACAATTAGAAAGAAAAAATTAGACAATGTCTCTACAAACATAAAGAGGATTAGTTGTTTAGAATATTAAATATACCGGGAAAATTAATTATATGGGTGTGGGCGGATACCATGGAGCAGGTTTACCTAAACCCAAACTCAACCCAACCCGATGAATAATAAACGGATTTAAACCCGAATCTGGACCAAAACCCGTCAACACGGATTTTACCCACGTTGACCAGGTTGGGTATAATAAGGTACTTGCGGATTCGGGTTTTGTTGCCATCCCTAATTGCAGTTCTGTTAAACCTTTTGAAAGAAGGAAAGAGGAAGGGAAAAGGAAGAAAGAACTGAAGACCCTCATAGATCTATGTAAGAATAAAACTTGGAGTATAATTCATCACAGGAAATATATTACAAACCAACGCTGCTAAGTCACTAAAGTCTAAAACTAAACTACTAAACAACTACTGAAGGTCTTCCAACCATTGAGACAGTGGGCATGACAAGTAACTAAAAACTATACACACAAGTGCAGAGCTGGTATGCTCCAAAAGAGCATATCAGGAATAAATCACCTCTGCCTGAGTCGAAGCACGCTTATATCGTACCACCTCCTCCAAAAATTTGAGACGGACTTTGCGACCCAATCGACATGAAGCCTTAATGACAAGCTTTTGAAGCTGACGAGCAATTTCTAACACAAACCGCACGAGCTCCAGCTCCGGCTGTGAGCCTGAGCTGTTCTCAATGTAGACCTCGCGCAGACTGTTGATTTCCGAGTCCTCTTCAATGTAGTCGTTTCTTTGATTTCCAGGCCTGGCTTAATTCCAGGATGTAACGTTCTCTTATCTTCTATCAATCAATATGATTATCTTTTGTCAAAAAAAAAAAAAAAAATCAACATTGGTTCCCAAAAGGCTGCCTCCTCCCTGGCTTTCATCTCCATGAATATTTCAGATTGAAGGATGAAATTTAAGTCAGTGTCAAAACAAAACAAGAAAAACGAAGTGAACTTCAGGCAGGTGCAATTTGCTTTTCGGGTTATAGTTACCTGAATTTTTAGTCTATGCAATCTCAAGGAACTTCTGATTAGACAGAATATTACAGACGTTTCTAGCGGACCATCATAATCCTCTCTGTATATTCCAAGGACTCGTAACTGGATATAAGAGGTTAAAAGGCTTAACTATCACTTTCCCAATAACTCGAGTTATTGGGGCCAAGTGGTTAGTTCGCTAACATGGTATCAGAGCCTAGAACCAAAAGGTCATGGTTTCGAATCCTCATAACGACCCCCAATTCGGCATCGGCTTTCGTTTGAGGGGGCGTATAAGAGGTTAAAAGGCTTAACTATCCCTTTCCCAATAACTCGAGTTATTGGGGCCAAGTGGTTAATTCGCTAACACTGGAGGAGACCAGGAATCTTGACAGGGACATGATGCCGAAATTCGGCAATCGGACCGTCATGAAGCAACAGAACTTTGTAGATTTTCATCAGTATCTTTTCCACCTCTGCCGTTGATCCACCTTCCTTAGTGATTCGAGCGAAACTGTCATCAAACACAAGTCGCGGAATGTTTCTCCAAAGAATGCTCCATTTTCTCGACAACAGGGCTGTCTTTGCCGCATCTTTTATGGGCAGGAACTTGAGGATACGTTCGATTACATGGTCAGGAAGCTTGCCGAGTCTATCACCCATTCCAAGCTGCTTCAACCGACCTATACCAGGAAAAAGCAAAACAACAAAAACCCAACAAGTTATATCCAGATTGGGATAAGCTTAACGAATCATAAAATTGAACTTGTGCAAACTAGCTAAACAACGAGTTTCACTGATTTTGTTTGTGCGACTGAATAATAATAATAATAATAAATTGTTTGTGCGACAGTAAGGGGTGCTCATTACTTATCATGGTTTAGGGTTTGATCCATGGGTAATATGTTACGAGAGATAGGATCTTTGGTTTCCAAACTTTGGATACCTACTCGACGCGCTCTCGAGTAGAGTAGAGGATCTTTTTTAATGATGAGAACCACTCCAAATTACTACAAAAATTGAATAGCAAAACAAGAAATATAAAGTGGATAGTCTTCTCATATTATTATTATACAGACATAAACAGATCTCATATTTATAGGCTTACAAAATCAAAACCCTTTCCTTATCACTTTAGGCTTTAGCCTCTTTTCTTCGTCAACCGCTACATAAAACCGATGCGGCTTTTAGACGGTTTCGAGCCAATTTTGTAACCGGGTGGCGATTTTACAGGTCGGTCCGAGCGGCTCGACTCGGCTTTAATAACACTAGAATAAAGGGTTATAGGTATAACATGCCCCTCTACTATGACGTTTTATCAAACATGCCCCTCTACTATTTTTTACATCAAATATGCCCCTGTACTTTGAAAAAATTATCAAACATGCCCTTCTGTCAAAATTTTCATTGAAAAAATTGTCAATCGTGGTTGAACCGAGATTTAGATGACCCGACATCGGCAAATGGGAGGAAAAATGTCAGTTTGTCCCCTGTTTTATT